GGAATTCAATTTTGACTGACAAAGGGGCGCGCCTTTGGAGGGTGTTTCAACACACCGAAGGGTATACATAGCGGGACCTTTCAATTAGAGTCGGATCCTTGCGATAAATGCAAGAGTGGCAACTGTAAAAAATCGAATACTTCATCATTTCTCAAAAGTGATGGAGTAATACGACATGCACTAAATTAAGGACACGGGATATAAATACAATACAATACAATAGATCAATTTACTGGTCGCAGTAGTGTTAGGTCCCGAACAGAGGGAAAAAAAATCTATACGGACCTAAAGGCGGCTTTTGACAAAATTGATCACAAAGTGTTACTCTGCAAGCTATCGCAATTAGGAGTCTCAAATCGATTGGTGTCGTGGTTGTCATCGTACTTGACTGGCAGAACGCTGTTCGTTAAACTCGGATCTTATGTTTCATCGCCATTTGCTAGCACGTCCGGTGTCCCGCAAGGAAGTAATTTGGGGACCGTTACTGTTTGTGTTATTTTTCAATGACGCTACATCTACCCTTGGCTAGAAGCGAAACTCGTATATGCTGATGATCTCCTCCAAAGGTTGCTTAACATGGTCGTTCACTGGTGCCGCTCGAACAAGCTTGTCATCAGCGTCGCAAAATGTCATGTGATGACGTTCTATCGGTCCAAAGACCCGATAATTTATGAATACCACATCTCTTCTTTCCTTTTATTTAACGTCGGTCTCTGTTCCGCAATCTAGTGTCAATCACCTACGGACAACAATTGCCATCCATTGACGGAAATAGAATGTGCAGGAAGGCAGCTTCCACACCTACGTAGAATATAGCACCCATTCAAACACACATGGGCTGGGACCAACGGTTTTGCTTCCCTTCCGAAGGAAGACGTGACCAGAGGAATACCACATCGATGGCACTGTTCTTAGCAGAGTGGATTAAGCTACGGATCTTGGTGTCGTATTGGACTCGAAGCTTTCCTTTCATTCCCATTATGCGTCGATTATTTCCAAGGCTAATCGTCAACTTGGCTTCATCTCTAAGGTTGCCAAGGATATCACGGATCCACACTGTCTAAAAGCATTGAATTGTTCACTCGTAAGCAGTGTTGGAAAAGTTCGCGATATTTCACGAAGTTCTCCAAGGGAAAAGTTCGCGAGTCATAGTGATTTTTTGCGAACTTTTCCATCACTGCTCGTAAGGCCAATCCCAGAAAATGCTTCAGTTGTATGGGCTCCAAACGACGTAACATGGAATCTAAGAATCGAGCATGTGCAAAAAACTACAAGGGACAGCCATATGAGGTTGTGCGCAATGGTGAAGTAGGACTACGTGGTCTTATATAATAAATGTTATTCGTTAACTGCAGCAGGATTTTGTGTTTTGTGAAAGATAGGAATTTGAGTGGTTTACTCTCTGTTTATGCTCTTTAGTATGACTAAGATTGCCCTGGAAAGAAACTTTTGATATGAATTTTAGTTGGGACATGTTCAGAAATTTAACTCTTTTGGAAAATCTTGGTGGCCCTGAAAAGGGCCGATGGAAGTACAGGCTTAAAGTCTTATGAAGATGATGATGACGTGTAGGCAGCTGGATCAGCAAATCGGACCGAACAATCCCATATACTTCGGTTCAATGATTGGGCACTCAGAGTCTCGGCCCGTCTGCTGCTGGACATGGGTTGAACTGGTGTCTGCGACAGGTTGGAAGGCCGCAGAATATCAGTGTCCAGCCAGCTAAAGCTCCTCCCTTTTTTAGTTTTTCTTGTTAAACTTCTTCTTTAAACAAGTTGGTAAATCTTAACCTTTGGCAGAAAGACGCTTAACACTTTTTTCGGCGAATTTTTGATCCTGTTTCACGTCATGGTTCTTCTCTAGTCCTGTTTAGATAAATTAGTATTTCTATTTAGTTTCTCTACTGCGCCAAATCAAACGAGTGAAAATAAGAAGGGATGCCGTTTACTCGCTCGAATAATTGAAAATTCGATAAATATTTAATCGAATAGCTGGAAAAATCTTTACGATTAACCGTTAATCGAATAATTGATCTTTTAGACATCCCTACACACTTAGACACATTGATGGAAATTTAGGTGCTCTGAGACTGACATATACGAGCGTCAATTTTGACATAAAATTGGGTCATAATACACGCAAAATTCAGCTCAATCAAACGTTCTTTTGAAGTTTTCAGTCTCAGAACACTGAATTGTTCATGACATGTTTGTTTACGTCTCATCCTTTATGTCAAAGATGGATTCTGTCACGTGTAAGATTAGGTATTTCTATGTGTGTAGAAAATAGTGTGATTTCATGTTTTTTGGTGGTCCTTCGAAAATGTCGAACAGCAGAATTGCAACCAGCAAGTGTAACCCAAGAACCAAAAGCGGTGCGATGCTAGTTTTCATTGCTATGACGACGACTGAATTAAGGGACTTAGAAGCAGAGGGATGAAAGTCAATTCTCTTCATCGATTTCCTCGTTTGATGACCATGGCTTCACTAACCTATTTCGCACTATATCTGCTATGCTCTTCGAGTTATTAACGAAACAGAAAGTCGATGAAGAGAATCGATCAAAATCACTTGCACCCCTGCTTTCAAGTTTTGTTACAAGATTACAACTCTGGAGAGCATTTTGTGTGGTCGTTGGGGGGCGTGTAGTTCTGAATATGGCGATGAGTGTGCAAAATGTTACGTAATTGCATCCTCCCTATTCGCACACGCCCGAAGATAGGAGGCGAATGCCACTTTGACTTGTTTCGTCTACTAACGATTCTCTCATGACAACAGTATTGGGGAAGCTCTGATGACTGTGTATATATAGTATATCTACGTAACTAATTATTTTGTAAGTTATTTTGACGCTTTTGGAAAATGCTTGACATTTACCACTTTTTCAATATATTCTTGTTGAAAATAAACAGTCGAAGGCATTGCTGTTGATGCATAGAAATATTGTTGATCGATTGGTGATAAAATTATTGAAATTGTTCCAGGGGCAGCTGAGTTATTAACATTCAAAATCTTTCATAATTTCGTTACATGTTTCATTTTAGATTTTCACAAAGTGTACCCCCATAAAGAAATCACAGATGTAGTCCTATGTCAAAAGAAGTATACGGCATGCGTTCAGGAACCTACCGTGGCGTGACCCGTTGAACCCTCCAGCGTATTCTGATAGATGCCTCTGCTTGACCACGAAATGCTTGATCGGAGACGTAAGCTACAACAGGCTATGTTTATAGCTAAATTACTCAACGGTGACGTCGATTGCTCTCATCTTCTGTCACTGCTTGATTTCCGTGCTTCAGGTGCACAGCAAAAAATTAATTTCAATATCAAATCAAAGTGGATGCACTTCAATCGTGTCGAAAATATGGTGTAATATTACTTGCCAAAAAATGATAAAATTATCATTAATACAATGCATGAACTGACATTACGCTACTTTTACTGCATTTATTTATTGTTGTGGCTATACAAATTACATGTGATTTTCGACATTGGATTGGATGTAATATTAAAATTTAGTTTTTGCTGTGTAGGATGTTACGTCAGCAATCCCTGATGCAACGGAGCTTTCATCGTTCTCTCTATGGCTACAACCAGCCTATTTATGCAATGGTTCGTATGTTTGTATCCGTCGAGTCCGCGTTTGATTTTGGTATGCACACACCTCAATTTGTGAATAGAGTAAGAAGACTGAACCTTATTTAAGATATCGAATAGTTTACTCATTAAGACCTCTTTGTCAGATGCATTATTAAATAAATAAATAAATTTAACGAGAAATTTGGCATAACATTACTCAGTCGTAAAAATGTAATCAGATTGAAGTTGACCGACTGGAATCGTGTGAATACATTCAGGAAAGTATTTTGAAAGCAAAATACTGTGAAATTAATGTTTAAATGATGACTGCCGAAAACAGTCAATGGGTGCCGAAACCGACATTTACCCTACGAGATTGAATAAATAATGATTTTCCTAAAAAATAAAATCCATACTATGCCAATTGACACCATTTCCCTTAAATCCTTGGGTGTGGGTAATTTACCGGTATTAACAGTACTGAAATACTGGTACCCACATAAAAGGGTCCAGTACTAACAACCCTAACTGGATCCCTGAACAAGATTCTTGATTGTGCAAATTGTGCAATTTTCAAGAAATCGTACATAAATGAGGATGCATTTAAGAGAGGAGAAGAGCATCTACAGATGTTGTGACCAGCCAGGTATTAGGCGTGGGAAAATATACTACAAGGGGAGAACTAAAATTGGTTACGTCATTTAAGTAAGGTTTTCAACGGCGCCGGTGGTGTAGTGGTAAGCGTGATTACCTATCACCCCAGCAGGCCTGGGTTCAATCCCTGATCACGCCTTCCTTCGGATGGGAAGTAAAGCCGTTGGTCCCCGGTTCATGAGTTGATGGGTCGATAGGTAGGGTCCAGGTGTGGGAGCTGCCTTCCTGGCACGTCGGTAGCATTGATGCTCAGCACGGAAAACAAGATCGACGGAAAAAAACAAACCAAAGGAAAAAAAAAGCAAGGTCTTTAAGTGAACTGTTTCTGATGGCTGAGTGACTGAGCAGCACTTGAAGAACAACTTTTTATCATTCCGGTCATTCCCTCAACTCAACTTCTTTATAATGAGAATCTCTGTTATTTCCCAAAACCGTACAATATCGCTCATTTGAGCAGCAGATTTTAGTGACCAACACAAATGTGATATAATTTTATTGGGCGATTAATTACTTTATGAAAGTAAGCACGCAAACACGCTTGCTGTAGGTCATTATTCGACAATGTTTAAATGCTGTAGTCATTTTGAAAACCTCTAAATGTTTACATTGAAATAGTTCAGACCTACGATCTCGAGAGGATAGTTCAACAGACGCTCACGGTATACATCAAGAACCTCTTGAAACCTGTTTGCGGTATTTACATACTGACGTATATTTGCTACATCGCCCCTGCTACAAAATCGTTAAAACCCGGCTATCAATGCCCAGGCGATCACAGTTCTAGCTGATACTTCTTTTAAGTCACAACGTGTTATTGTCAGAATTGTTAATTTATGCACGATGCAGATACTCTCAGCAATTCTCGCTCTAGGCTGTTTGTCCGCAGTTGCATTTGGGGCGCAAACATTGATGCTGAATGCAACTCATCCAGGTTAGTTATTCAAGTTATCGTTTTTTTTTATGTAATGGCAATAAATAGTACGATTATTGATATAATTTCAGACCATCCGGGCAAGTGCTACGATCCCTCCTCGAATTTGGCGCTCAGTCCTGAAGAAATGAAAACGATTCCTGGATCATGTGTCAGGATTTCATGCTCCGAGGATTTCACACTGACATATTCAAGGTAACCGTTATATTTGAAAAAGTAAAATCCCACGAAATTGATCAATATTGTATCTTGTTAGCTGTGGCTTATATTCACTCGGACCAAACTGTAAAGAGATTGACCAGGATCTTAGCAAGGATTATCCTGCATGCTGCATAACATTCAAATGCGAATAAGATGGAGAAGTTTCCCATTATTGATAGTATAGTTGAAAAATAAACTAAGGGGCTATCCATATACCTTGTGGAAAGTTTAGAGGTAAGAGGACGGTTTTGGCAAATAGATGATTGTCCATTAAAACCACCCAAAACCTGACCACGTGGTTTATGCACAGCCCCTAATAGGTCCATCAATGATATTAATTTATGTAATAAAGTGCATGTTGAAATAATAAAAATTATGTGTTACTTTTCTTACAAAGAAGGGTATATACAGACATATAGAGCCGGTTTTATCAACTCCATCTTTGAAAATGTTTTCTACCATTCTACGAAATCCATGCGCTTTTTGGGTGGTCTTATTGCATTTCTTGTCTTATGCTCCTTCTCTTCTTTCTTCCATTTTTATGTCATCTTCTCGTTCTTATTCTGAACGGTTCGCCTTCCCTCGTTTTCTCTTCCCTTTGTCCTTGCCCTCCTTTTGTTTGTTGAACACTTCTTCTTCACCTGGCGTTTCGCGATCTCATTTACCCGCAGGTGGTTTTGGAGGACTTTTCGCCATCTCCTTCGCCTCATTTAACTTTGCTGTCTTCTCCTTCTCGGCTTTTTCAGCTCTCTGCCCCAATGCTTGCCCGTTCGGCAGTCAACATGCCAGCTTGAATATCCGACACTTATGCCCTGATCTCTGCAGTTTTCCACTTCTTGCCAACGCGATCGTTACTCCGTTTTTGTTATCTTGAATTTTGCCATCGATGTTCATATTAATTTATTGCTTTTCCATCTTTTATATTTTTGATAATATTATTGCCCAACAGAATCCCCCTCCGGGTCACTAGCTCGCCACGTTTTAAGTAGTCGCCTATAGTGACCCCATGGTTATCTCTGTAAGCAGTGGGGCCGTCCGTGGGTTGGCACGGTCCTTCATTGGAACCGTGTTCAGAGCGAGATCAACGTAAGTCAGCAATGTTACATCTGAGCCTACTACCCACTATGGAGACGAGTTTCAAACGTATCCGGAGACCGGCCAAGGTTTTACCAAGGTTTTACCGGGACGGAGGCAGCTGCTCCTTTAGCCCATTCGCAATTTCAGAAGGTGTCACTCTTCTTTACTCTGGGAGTAGAATAGCACAACTGTCAGCACTGTAGCGTCTAACCGAACCAGTGTGCCGTGTCGTGTCCAGTATGCTGTAAATATAATCTTACTAGCATCGATCCCAATTTTCCAGTTGGCAGTCCTACGGGTGTTGGGCTAAAGTGCTTAAAGACTAACTCGCTTCGACGGAGCTCCCAAGTAACAATTTTGGTTTTATGAGGGCTCTGTAGGCCATGACTAAGCCTTGTAGCATGCTTTAAAACCTCTATAAAACTTGAAATGTTACTTGGGCTGCTTCCAGATATTGTGTTTTTGTTTAGAAGTGTCCTGAAACGTACCAACAACATCATGCGACACTTCAAAACACATGAAAATGCAACAACAATATCAACGGTGGCCATATAAGATCTTAGGACCACATCGGCCATACCCGGACATGTTCCGGTATCCCGGGAAAGCTATCATGCAACTCCTTAAACCATATGAGAACTCAAAAACCAAGGTCAATATAAGTCATATCGAGTAACCAAGACCATTTCGGCCATGCTGGACATGTTCCGGGTGCCCATGGAAAAGTGTCAAATTGCATTCTTTGACCGAAACCCATCATGGGACACCGCAAATCACATGAGAACTCAAAGCTTAGTTCAATGATATAATTGAGTATAGTATATTGAGTACAGCTATCCCCCGAAGAACGCGTTACCCACTGAGTTGCACCCACCGCTTTTTCTCGGCGGGGTGTCAACCAGTCGGTCTGATTTTTTGCATATCAATAGGAAAAATGGAGAACTAGTCACTTGCAGAAAATCAGAGCCAAAATCAGTTTTCAGAACAGTTCTCAAATCACGTTATTCTCAGTATGTATATTCTATTTTTTTCACTAAAAATTTCGAAACTTTTGTTATTTCGCAGGACTATCCTGAAATTTTCTGGGCTTCCCTGAAGTGCACAGCTCAGTTCTGAAGTCCTCAAATATCCTACAATTTTCCTGGAGTTAGAACTGCCTTGAAATTCATTCAAAGCTTTCAAAAATACCATGATACTCACGAAACTTCCCTCAAAATATTAATACTATCCTGAACTTCTCGACTTATATAAAGTTCCCTGAATATGTTTAGTAATCAACTTCACTGAAGTACCCGATTTTCTCTGGAACTGTAAAAATTTCCTGAAGTTTTCACAATTTCCCAGAAGCCCATGGATCTTCTTTATTATTATTTTTTGTAGTGTCCCTGAAGTTAATGGAACTGCCCAGATGTTTTCTGATCTTCTCTAAAGTACTTGATTTTTTTTCTTGTAATCCTCCTGAAGCTCTTAGTTTTGCCCTGAACTTTAAAGAACTGTCCAAAAAATCTCTCAACTTCTCTTAAAACCTGTGAACCTTTGTAAACCTCTATATTTTTTTGAGCGTTTCTTAATAGATTTTCAAATCTCTGGATTTCTTGAAAGTCTGTGAACCTCAAAATGTACCACTGAAATTAATGCAACTGCAAATGCTCTGAACTTCTGTGAAGTTTGCGAAGCTTACCTGTCATTTTTCAATATCCCTGAAGATCTTTGGACATCCTTGAAATTTCTGTATGGTTCCAGATGGTTTTCGATATTTTCCTAATATTATTAATCGATTTTCAATGATTTTCCCGAAATTTTCCTTAAGTTAACGAAACTAACTTTCCAGCATCTTAACACTTCGAATTTTGGAAAATCATTCCTCGTGATCGCTTTTAAATCTGTTGAAACCAAGTAAATCTTTCAAGAATTTATTTTCAAATAGTGTCAATAGATTTGAAATTTGTCAATAAATGACTGAGCTATGATTTGTCCGAAGTGTTCAAACTTCCCCAAAAATCTGGACCATCCTGATGTTTATCGTGATTTTCTGATATAATTGGAACTGTCCTAACGATCTCTGAACTGGGTTAAGTTCTCTAGACTTCCCTGAATTTTTCAGAATATTTTACATAATTAGGCTCCCGAAATTTTTCTTGAAACTCCCGTATTTTTTTTTCCTGAAGTTTAAAAATCTTCTTTGAGGCTCGCGAAGCTTCCACGATAAAATATGTTGTAATACCCTGCAGTTGCTTATATTTCCTGATACTCAGATAAAATTCCCTGAAGACTTTAGTTCTCAAATCTTCGCTAGAGATCCCGTTTGAAGGTATCGAAACAGGCATGAAAATCATGAATCTTTTCTTCAAATGATCATAAATTTTCCTGATGTTCATGTAACATCCTAAACGTTTTCCAAGTTTTCCTGAAATCTTCGGAACTTTGCTGAAATTTTCGAACTCTCCCTTTTTCGGAACTTCTTCAAAAATCTAGCAATTTCTTTCAAATTACTAGAATTGACGATAGGTTTTCTGATCTGTCCTGATGTTCTCGGAACTTATCGCAAGTTCTCTCAATGCTCCGGAAGTTCTTGGTACAGTTCTGAAAGTAATGGGACTGCCCTGAAAACCTACACGGAGAAAAAATACCACCCAAAATTTGAGTTCTTTTTACTTAATATTGAGCTCAGCCTCTCACTTGCACTCTTTATTGTGGTCAAAAAAGGAACAAGAGATTGGACCCAATATGTTACTTTTGAGTAAATTGCATATTCTCAAATTAACGTGAATTAAACTTAATTTTGGGTAGTATTCTTAAGAGTAAGTATTTTTTTTTTTTTTTTTTTGCAGGTGTTAAATGGAAACAACTATATGCGATTTACTCAAATTTGGGTTATTGGGCTGAACCCCCGAATTGAGGGAAAAGTACTTAATTTTGGGTAGTTTTTCATCTCCGTGAATAATCTTCCCTAAAGTTCTCTGGATTTTTGTGATGTTTCCCAAGTATTACTGATGTTTTCTTAAGTTCTTTGAAGTTTTTTTGGCTTTTGTGAAATTCCTGGAGCTTCTGTAGTCCTCGAAATTTTCCCGAATTTTGCTGGATCTATCAGAACTTACCCTTACAGATCTATGCTTTCCTTAAGTTTTCGGAACTTCCCAGAAATCATTGGAACTACCCTTAACCCTTTGTCTGTATCTTGGGGTCAATATGACCCCAGGCAATTTTTGCAATCTTGATTAGTCATCAAAACGATTTTTTTTTTCTATGACATGATTGCATGCTAAATTCTTCTTGATATGCTTGCCTCTTATTTGAGACATTTTTTTTGAATTTTATTTAAAAGCCATTTTGAAGGATTTACACAATGAACTTAGCTTTATTTTAAAGTTGCAGACAAAGGGTTGAGATCTCTGAGACCTAGCTTCTCTGAAGTAAATGGAACTTCTAAGTTTGATTTTTTTCCCTTCAAGTTCTCTCTACTTTTCTGAAAAAAATATCTGGATACCCCTGAAGTGCTTAAAAGTTCCTGTAGTTTACTAAATCAAATGTTTAAGTTCATGAAGTTTTCCTGAAGTTCCCATAGTATAAAAAATCTAAGCTTTCCTTATGTTCCCGCAGTTTGTTTATGACATTTTGTTGAAACTCTAGGCATTTACTTTCATTCCGAAGAACTTCTTGAAAGTTCCTACAATTTATGTGTAGCTAATGGGACCACCCTGAACATATCAAATCTTTCAAATAGCTAATGGAACGTTCTTGAAGTTCTCACTATTTTTCTGATCATGTTCCTGGAATTGCTTATTTACCTGAAAGGAATGAAACTGCCCTTAATTTGTTGATATTTACCTGAAGTTCTGAGAATATCCCTGAAGTTCCGGAATTTTCCCTGATATTCTTAAAACAGCCCTGAAGTTTTCAGAACTGCTCCGAAGTTCCCTGAATAGTGTTTGAAGTTTACCTGAATTTAATGACGCTGCTTAGTTGTTAACCAACCTTCACTGAAGTGAATTTTCCTGAAATCTTTGGGACTGTTTTGAATCTGGTGGCACTTACTCCAAATAATTTTAATACTTCCCTCTCGTTATAGACGTTCATGACGCTCTTGGAACAATCCTGAAGTTTTCTTAACATCCTTGAAATTCACAGATCTTTTAAAAGATTCCCGACCAGTTCCAGGCCAAATAGGATAAAACAATACAAATTTAAGGCTCGACCCGATTTGCATGAAACTTTGTATAATGATGAGTTATTGGCAATCATTTACGATTTTGAAAAAAAATCGGACAAGTTGGATCTTTTATTTATTTTTTTTTTTTCAAAATG